AAGCAGCTTTGCGAGTAAGATAGATAGCACTATTTCATGGTCTTCTGTTTGTTATTGATGGACATCTGTGTCCAGCCCAGTTCACGAGAAAGACATTCAAATGTGGAGAAAAGTGCCATGTCAGAGGCACTTGGTAGCAGACACCGCAGTGGAGGGAGGGGCCCGCTCAGTCTGAAGCCTCTCTGCAGATGGAAACAAAGCCTGGGCTCCTCTACAGGAGGCAACCCCTGGCTCACTTGTCTCATGTGCTCTAGGGATTCCCTTTGTAATTATTAGCTTTGTGCTCATGCCTTCAGTATCTTCGTTGGTCTTGAAATCAAGCTGCTGGAAATAGAGACCCTTCTCCTTGCTTCCAGGCACCTCTCACCTGTGTCTTTAAGCCAGGCAAACACAAGCGAAACCATCCCTGCTTATTCTGTCTGGAGGGACACTTGCAAGGGTGGCCAGCTAGAGGCCCTGAGACCAGCTCCAACGGGAAACTCTTCTCACACTTGAATGTGCACACAAATCTCCAGGGGATCTTGTTTAAAATGCACATTTTGGCCACTAGGTCTGGTGGAACTGTAGTCTCACAAGCACTGGGCAATGCCCATGTGCTGCAGCCCCAAAGTGGCACAATGAGCCCAGGGGCAACACTGCACACTCTGCGGAACAGTGAGTTGAGAGCCTTACTTGCCAGCGTTTTCCTAAGAGTCTAGCTCCTATTCGATTTAGGGTTCCTTGAAAGCAGAGACTGAGTCTCACACATTTTCTGCTTTTTCCTGGCAAGCACCTGGCACGAGGCCTGTACATGGTGGGGATCTATTTAATTAAACAGACTTGACCTTGTTCCAAAAAGGATTTTAAGTGGCCTTAACCCTTAGTACACCCTAAATGGGCACGTGATAAGTTGGCCAGGGAAGGAAGTAGGCCTAGAGGTCCTTCCGGATAAAGGTCCCCTCCACCTGTCTGCACCTGGATTACACCTCCGTTCTCCTTGGAAAAATTTCTTCCTGCCACATTATTAAAACGGTTTACAATACAGGGCCAGTGTGCAACAGGGAAGAAAAACAAAACACAACGAGAAAGCCCTGCGAAGCGCTAAGGCTCCGGAACATCAAGAGCTCCACTCGCAGCGGCAGAGCTGCAGAACTCACTCTGCCTTGTCTCCAGCGCTTTGCAGGTCGGTGTCGCGCGTCCACCACCCAGGTGCCCCGCCAGCCCCAGGAGCCTCGCAGAAGCCGATCCCGGCGGGCGCGGGCGCGGGCGCGGGCGCGGGCGCCTGTTGGTTTGGTGCAGCCTGTTTGTTAGCTGAGCGTGCAATTAACCTTCTCAGGCATCTCCCGCTTCTGGGGGTGGGGGGTGGGGGAGTGGCCTGGGGTCGCCCTGGGGGTCGTGGGTAATCCGGCTGGGGCTACTGCTCCGTAGAAACCTCTGTTCCGAAGGTCCCCGGGAGTGCCACAACCTGTTTTCGCTGCGGCAACCTCGGACGATAAAGGACTCATTAGGAGCCATAGGGGAGGAGGGAGAGAAAAGGAGGGAGGAAAGGGGGTTACGGTATATTGGTCGGGAGTCAGTCGGGGCCCTCGGGGAAAGGCGGCGCGCACCGGCGAGTGCGCCCTGGGGAAGAGTACACGTGCGGGCAGGAGGGAGGGGGAGAGGTGAGGAGGGGGAGGAGGGAGGCCGGGCCGCGCGCGGGAGGCGCCCGGGCCCGCAGACGCCAGCGCAGGCAGCTAAGAGTCGGAGAGAAAGTTCCCGGGGAGAGCTCGCCCGCCCAGAAGGGCGACTTGAAGGCCGCTCGCCGCCGAGAAGGGCGCTGGTCCCTTCGCACCACGCTCAGTCGTCGCCAAGGCTCGGCTCGAAGGGAAGCGGCGGAGCTTAGGGGCGGCAGCGGCGGCCGCGGCTCAACTTGGAGGCGGCGGTGGCGGTGGAGGAGGAGGAGCAGAAGGAGCAGGCGGAGGATGCCGCGAGTGGGCGCGGCGGCGCAGGGCGCGGGGGCGCACTGAGAGCTCCCGCCGGCTGGGCGGAGCGGGCAGGTAGCGACTCCAGCGCCCGGACTGCGCCAAGCCTGCAAACCAGGGCCGCCAGCGCCACCGTGCCGGCGTCGCCTCCTCCTCGCCACGGTGTCATGGTGCGCGCAGCGCGCACGCCACGCGCGGGACCCTGAGCTCGGACTGCGCGGGGCGCCCCAATCGCTCCTGTCTCTTCGGGAGACCTCGCTCCCCGCCGACCTCGCTACCGGGCCATGAAGCTTTGGACCGGAACCTCTGGCCTCTGAGCTGCGCAGCGCCCGTTCCAGCTCCAGCGCCCCTCGGCCACGGGCAGCGCTCCGACGCCTGAAGCTCTCCATCCTCTCCCAGGGACCGCGCGGGGCGCTGAGATGGCGCTCCGCGGGACTCGGCGCAAAGTTCGCGGGCGGAGAGAGATGCTGCCGCAGCAAGTTGGCTTCGTGTGCGCGGTGCTGGCCTTGGTGTGCTGTGCTTCTGGCCTCTTTGGAAGCTTGGGTAGGTGTGGGTACCGGCCCCCTCCGCCTGGGGGCTTGGGAGAGCTTGAGCCGGGAATCCGCGGGGCAGCTCCCCCTCATCCTTGTCAGGTGGGTCTCCAGGGTTGCTCCGGTCCCCCCACCCCATGCCGGTAGGTAGGGCGCACCCAGGGGGCCTGATGGACACTGAGCGGGGAGAGGCCCCGGGGGGCTCAGAACAGCGTTGCATCGTGCGGAGGTGGGGATGGGGGTCTCTTGTGGTGATGAGACTGAGTGCTCTGCTTTCCTATTCTGTGGCAGCAAGGGCTGTGTCTCCAGTCCCTGGAAGACCCGAACTCAGAGACTGGAAACTGGCCCTGGGTCTCCCACCCCCCACCACTATTGCTTTTCCTGCCTGGTCCAAAGGGGTGTCTTGGGTTTTCTAAGGTGTCCTCCGTAAACCCTAAACGGACTGGGAAGTCTGTACCCGCGGGAGATTCCGGCCACGTTGTTTCAGCATCGCTTGACACATGGGGATTAAGAGCAGTTGCTCTTAATCCCCATGGAAGGGGAGGGTTGACATGTGCCCTGGCTGTCTGCGGGTCGGGTCTCCGAGTGCACTAGGAAATGCACCCTTCAGCAGGCGTGGAGAAGAAACTTCCCCAATGACTGGGGCAGGACTGCCCACCAGGGCCCTTTGGGGGCCATTCATTGCCCCTCACTCTCATTTTGAGTTGGCTGCTGTGAATCTTTCAATTTTTTTTTTTCAATGTTTAAAAAGAAAAAGAAAGAAATCCTGGTAGTTTAGCAACAGCAGGTGGCTCTGTCTTGAGCAGACAGAAGGGTCCTTACCATCCAGGGACCACTTAGAGAGGGTTACAGTCACACAGAAAATCCAAGTGGAAATCAATTAAACTACCCCCAACAATCTGTAAAGCTCAAACTTTGTAATTTGAAGATAGAGAATTAAAATTTGGCTCTTTTCAAAGAAAACCAGAAAGTTCGTTTTGAACATCTTAGTGTCTGCTCTATTGGGAAAGTTGGTGCTTTTCTTCAGTTCCACATCAGAAATAACACAATACCTAGAGGTTCCTGGCCTCAGCACTCTAGAAACTATCTGCTGGGTCAGGAATTACCTTTAGGAGTTTAACTGCCTTTGGTAATGGACACCCTCACTGCCTATGTCACTCTGTGGGACCCTTGGACCAGCAGTATCGGCATCCCTGAGAGCTTGTTTCAGCTCCAAGCGCCATGCAAGACCTGGTGGATTGGAATGTGCATTTGACCAAGATCCCTTGGTGTTCTGTGCCTACGTTCAAGTGGGAGAAGTCATAAGCCACTCTCCATCCACTGGCCCTATCTGCTTGCTACCTAAGCATCTGCTTGTGGCTCCTCCACTGCAGGGAACTCCTGAGTGTGTCTCCTGAGAAAGAACTTAACAGTGACCTAACTAACTGTTGTGCATTAGTGAGGGGATAAGACCAGCTCAGTCTTACCCAAGGGCAGTTTATATACTGACCCATCCGAGACCAGAGACAATAAATTAGACCCAACTAGAGGGTGCTGCTAGCAGGAAGGTAGTAGCGTACTTCTAGTCATTGTGTGACTTCCCTACAGGTGGCTCTAAATAGCCAAACAGAGCTGTCACTGACAGACCTAGAAGCACATACGTAAGTAAGGTCATTGACGATGCAGGTATGCATAGACTAATGATGTCTCTGATTTATCTTCCGATCCAGGGCACAAAACTGCTGCTGCTAGCCAACACCCTGCCCAAGACACGTGGAGAAACAGGAAGCTGATGGCACCAGTGAACGGGACTCACATAGCTAAGAACTGCACAGATCCTGGTAAGAGGTCAAGTCTGCTCCCCAGCCCACCCCTGACCTCCACAGGCTTTGGCCTGCCTGGAGATGGTGTTGTGGGGACCATCCCACCAGAACCAGGAGAGGAGGCGTGGAGAGTACTGAGTTGAGGGGGCTCTGCAGATGTCCACCAGCCAGGCCGCTAAGCAGCCTAAGTGCTTTCTTTACCCAACAACTAAGGTCACACTCAAGGGTTTGAATCTTTGGTCCTTTGTTCTCACCATGCTCTGGAACACTCTGTTTTCCTTACTCTCTTGATTTTGTTGATTTGCCCAGTGTCTTTGTTTTCTTCGCCTTTGGCTCACTGTACACATTGGATGGAGCTCTGGGGGCAACAGATCCAGCTGCTCTGGCAGATGGTGCTCTGGGGTCGCCTGCCAGGGTCAGAGCACATTGGGGTAGCTGCAGGGACACTGGGATGGGCAGCCTTGCTCTGGAATGATGGCCCTCAAGGTGCTCTGCTGCCCCAGGAGACAGTGTCCACCATGCTCCTCTTCACAAGTCTCTTAGAGGTCACCGGTGAATCTCTTGGCCGTTCCCTGCCATATGTGGGCTTCACTTAAATAAGTGAAGAAGATTCTCAGGAGGAGCAAGTATCCCCAGGAAGCCAGGCCCCCACAGGGCTCTTCTAGACATTAAATCCGGGCCCATCACTTGGGGTTGTTATGAGGGAGATATATCAAAATTCCAAGAGAGAATGATGATGTTGTATTATAAATAACTTTTTCATCAAGTTGCCAGCAAATTGCATACTCTTTGGGGGCTCTGTTTTGCCTTCTGTAAAATGGGTAGAAGAGTCTTTGCCTGCTTAGACATCAGAAGGGCTCTCTGTGTAGGACTGTGTATAAAAGGAGATGGGGCTGTGGGGTGAAGGAGTAAGTGTGGGTAGCAGTCTTTGTGTGTTTCTTTGTTGCCCTCTGTGAGCCAAGTGTGCCCATTTTACAGGTTAGGAAAAACCTAGGGAGGGACACAAATTGCTCAGAGTCACCAAAGGGGTGAAGTTGGCTTTGGAACCAGATGTCTCAGTTGTTTGCTGAGCTTGTGGAGGCTGAGGGCTGGTGTCATACCGCAGAGCTGCTGGGTGTGTCATGTACCTTCGACCATCCTCCCTAGAGGCCTTCCAACAAAGACATTTAGGCCATGGAGGAGGAGGACCTCCACTTGCACGGATGAGCTGGAACTTCCTGGGTTCTGCTCCCAAGTGGCACCATCCATCCTGGGGACCTCACAGGAGGTGATGCCCTTACTGTCACTAACCCTGCCCAGCACCTCTTCTTTCCAGGCTACCCTACCTTGTCGTGGTAAATAAGTGCAAGGCTGGAGATGTTGATGTGGGGCCCCCAGACTTGAAATGCTACTATCAGTGCCATCCATGTGGGTAGAGATCAGTTAGGGGAATCCTGGTCTTGTTCTTGTTCACTGGTGCTGTCATCTTGGGCTGGCTGTGCCCTCTTCTGTCCCCTCAGCCATTTCTGTCCCATTAGAAATGCTGGGCCGCATTTCTAATGCTAGAATTCTCCTATACTCCATTGAGGCCTCTGTAACTTCAGTATCCTGTCTGATCACAAACATCCAATGGATGTCTAAAGCAGTCTGTACTATTTGGCAAGAAGGCCTGACCTTGTCCCTCTTATGGAGAGAGGAGTGAAGGGAAATTGGCAGTGTCTTTAGCAATGATTAACATGTGCATTATGCTTTGTGTTGACTGGTTCTGGAATAGAGCTGGGCACACAGAAGGGACCCGGGAAGTACAGGTCAAATGAGAAGGAAAGTGGTTTTGCTGTATCACACACTTCAGTTGTCTCTGTGTTTTTGCAAAGGCGGATACACAAAGCTCAGGAGTTTGCGCTTCCCCAGATCTCTCGGGCAGGAGGAGCCTCCTCAGTTGCCTGCCTTGCCGTCTGTGCTGTCCATGTGCCTCCCCCGTATCCTCCGCATAGCCCTTGGTCTCCTTCCTTCCCTTCCAGCCTCCACATCGCTGGAGAGTGAGAATCTCTGCCCTCTTTGCATCCCACATCAGAGCAGGCACCAGGCTGTGTTTCCAGCCCAGCTCAGAGCAGGTGAGCAGTGCCAGACTCAGCTTCTGTCAGCCAGGAGCTTCCAACAGAAAAGAGCAGACAAGAGCTGGTCAGGTTTCTTGACCTGAGGAAGACAAGGTGATGATGAAGGACTGCCAGTTCCCACTCAGCAGCCTCGTAGGAGGCACTTCCGGCACCTGGAGGATGGGGAGCTGGCCCTAGGAGCTCTGGGTCTGATGTAGTGGGCGCGGACCTAACTTTCCCACATTGAAACTCAGGCAAATTCAGCTAACCTCGGTGGTGGTGGGGGTTCTGTTACTGTATCTAAAGGAGGGGACACTGCTGGCTTACTAACTGGAAGTGTAGGATCAAAGGTTAAGAAAGTGGTGCCCAGGACTCAGTTTTTCAATGTTGCTGAATGTGGTTGTCTCCCAGTATGGGCAGATTAAAATCTACTGTCCAACCTTAGATCCTCCCAGTCTCAAAAATGCTAGGCAAGAGCATGCCCAGGACTGAGCTACTCTGCGGGGTTCTATTGGGTTGGGTTGTCTTGGCCCACATGACTGCTCTAAGCCAACTGCTCAAGGCCAGAGGGATGCTGAACCCTGGGCTGGCTTATGTGTGGGTTGCAGGGTCCACCTGTGGAGGGACAGGGAAGCCACCTCCTCCTGCTCCAGAACTCCACCAGGGTGTGGGTTCCCAGGTACCTGGGTGCAGACACTCATAATGGTTCAGTGGGACTCCCATCCAGGGGCTGCTGCTGTAATAAAGGTAGGCCAGGGTTGCAAGTTCCTGTTTCAGGGCTGTGAGGGACAGAAGGTGGCATCCAATGCGTGCCTTCCTTCCAGCTCCCAGAGGTTTCCTGGTCTCTGATCCCTCTGGTCCCTGTCCTGCACCCATCTCCATTGGCTGGAGGCTCCTCACACTGCTGATCCACATAAATTCCTTAGGGCTGTGGAAAGTCAGGGCTTTTTGAGAGTCTGTCCATGTCCCAGCACCAGGCAGTGTCCTGCCAACATGAGCACACCAAGAACCAGGGCAGGGGCTGGTCTTACTCCCTGAGCCTCCCGGAGTCTCTTCTTGCTTTGAGGGAGGAGTGACTTCATTTCCTCAAAGCTCTAAGGGGGTTTCTCTCTCCCAAGAAGACTCCATGTGGAACCTGGCTCTTCGCTCTGCTGAGTCCTTTCCCAGACCTCAGTAGTTGTGTTTCGGTCACTTCGTTTTTGTTACAGCTTTGGTGTCCCATCACCCACCCAGCCCAGTGATAACAGGTACTACTATTTACAGTAACTGTGTTCCGCCAGCCTGTGAGAGCTACCTGCTCTATGCCTAGAAGAGTCCTGGTCACACATGCAAAAGGCTCAAGAGCTTTCTAGATAGGTTTCTAAATGTTCAACTCCCAGCCCTAGGGGGTCTGACCTAATGGATTTGGAGCAGTCCCAGGAACCCACACTTCCTAGGAGCTCCCTAGATAATTCCAAGGGGTAACCAGAGTTGATACTTATTGGGCTAGAGCCCCACTGCTGAGTGGGGTGGCCTTCTAGGAGTCTGGATCTTGGGCCTACATCCATCACCTACTGGATTAGAATCTGCAACTTAACAAGGTTCCCGGGTGATTCCTGTGCACCCCAAAAGCCAAGAGTCCCTGGGGGAAATGTGCTGGACACTTTGCGGGTGTTCAGTGAGTAGCTGGGTGTCGGGCCGGGCTGCAGCCCCATGGCAGAGCACCCGCCTGCGTGCGCAGGGCTCTGGGTTTGATCCACAGCACTGAAAAAATCATTTGAATATTTAACAAAGGCTAAATCTTGGTGTAAGGTAGCAATTTTCTCAAAAACCAGCTTTTAAGTTTTTTCAATTATTTTTATTCTTATTTTTAAAGAGTACAAATTAGAATTAAAACAGAAAAAATTACAAGTGACACAGAATTTCACTTAACAAAGTAACATGACTTTCATAGTATTTGTTGTAATACATAGTGTTGTTTTCCAACCAGTTATTTATATTATCAGATGGATGCATGTAAAACTGGAAGAAGAAAGAAAAAAAGAAATATGTAAGAAATTAAGAAGAGAGAAAGATAAACAACTGAAAAAAGGAGACAATTTTTTTTTTGATGTAAGGAAGCTAAAAATACTGTATCATTTTGACCAGCAATACCTAAGAAAAGCCATAATTAGCTTTTCCTCAGAGGCATGAAGGCATGGCCTGGCTTAAGGTTAGGCCTCAGATGTTTATTTTCATGGTCTGTGCAGAGCAAGCCCTAAGATAGGGAGGCGAGCAGATGTATGAAATAGGAATGAGTAACACTGAGTCGGTCACTGGAATGATCTTAGCTTGGGCTTTAACAGACATTTCTCACAGTCCTGGACACTGGGAAGTCCAAGGTTAAAGCACCCATAGATGATGGTGTCCAGTGAATTTCTAGCAGGCAGATGGCTTGCTTCTCTCTGGGTGCTCACGTGGTAGAGACAGCTTTCTGGTCTTTGCCTCCTGTCATGAGGGCACTAATCCAATCATAGGACCCCATCCTCATGACCTCATGTAACCTCTAGTATCCCAGCAAAGGCTCTACCTGTAATACCAGCACATTGGGAGTTAGGGCTTCAACCTCTGGGTTTTAGGATAACACAGACATTCAGGCTACTGGAAGAGCCAGTAAGTTCCTCCTTTTCTCTGGGTGAGTGAACCTGGGGTGTTTGTGTAAGCTGAGCTAGAACCGGAGCATCAAAACTTGGGCTGTGAGCGAGACACCTAGGGATTCCAGACGGTGTAGATGGTGGGCTCATCCCTGCCTCATGAAACCAGAACCAGTGATTTTTGGAGCTTTTGAGCGTCAGAACCTCTATCTAGATCTTCCAGAGTGGCTTCCTGCCTGTCACTGCCACATCCCCAAGGCATTCCCTGGTCACTCATTCCAAAGTAGCCATCTAAGTCACTGGTTGTCAAGGCATCTTGTTCTAGCTCCTC